CGTTCATCTTTGGGACACAAATGAAGATCTTTTTTTGATGAAATCCATTCAAATCCACGAATCTCCAATGTGCTTTCCTGGGAACACCACAATGCATGCGTGTTGTACTAATGCGAGAGCAGACATTGTTGCATGAATGCGTGTTGGAGATTAATATTTTGTAAACCAATTTTGGTTTGAGCACATGAACAATGAGCAACGATGAGCAAATGAACAAATGTCTTATGGAATTAGAACGACATGAGGGTGAGTAATTAATGACAGAATTTTAATTTGGGGGAGAATTAACCCTTTAAAGTGCTTGGCCACCAATGTCCTACTCTAAAAAAAAAATCAACAAAAAAAAAAGTAAATAATTACTGATTACTGGAGTACGCTTTAGAATAATACACTATTTCAGTCTTGGGAATTTACATTTACATTTATTCATTTAGCTGACGCTTTTATCCAAAGCGACTTACAATTGCTATATTTCAGAGGTCGCACGCCTCTGGAGCAACTAGGGGTTAAGTGTCTTGCTCAGGGACACATTGGTGTCTCACAGTGGATTCGAACCCGGGTCTCTCACACCAAAGGCATGTGTCTTATCCACTGCGCCATCACCACCCCAATGTCACATTTAAATCACCGTGTTAGTTGCCGTTTCTTTGTAATTATCTACTAGCAATTACTGGTAGCACTTTATTTTACAGTCCTGTTCCCCATGTACATAATATGTACTTATTATAGTGATTAAAATAACGGCGTAATAACTAGGTACTAATCCTGAACCTTACATTGTTCTTACCTAATAAAATACTGGGTAATATAGGCAACTACATGGGTAACCTTAATCCATGCAGTTGCCTATATTACCCAGCACTTTCTTAGGTAAGAACGCTGTAAGTACACATATGTGCCTGTACTGTAAAATAAAGTGCAACACAATAGCTGTTAAAAAGTTGTTTCCTAGTTTGTTTTTATTCAAGTAAATCCTATTCCAGTTTTTTTTTTATTCAGTGCGGTAAACTTATGAACATTCAGATATTTTGACATGCAATTTACAGTAGTAATTAAAGCATACATGCTTTGCTGCCATCTGCTGGACAAAACCTTTATTTTTTTTGATGCATTAGACCATCTCCTGGATCTCCTGCCTCACATATGCTCTTTTAAGAGGGCTAATAGAGGTGGAGAGGTGATGTCACAAGTTGAGATCAGAACCCTCTCCACATTGCCTCAAATGCTGACCTCATCTCACAGCACCACGACCCTGTTTTCTCATTCTGCCAGTGACCACGGGGTCAGACAGACAGAGCTCAGTAGACGCACGCATTAATTTTTCACTGCTATATATTCTCTGGGTAAATAATCAGCGTGAGCACACCCAACAGCAGATGGCAGCTCATAAATCCTGAATTGAAAATAAATACAAGAGCTAAGGAAATAGTGCCTCCCTAGGATAGCTGTTCTCACCTGAATGGCTTTCCAGAGCAGACATCTGTAACTCACATGTCAATTAAAGTAGGTTTACAATAAATCATCTTATTGACAAGTCTATTTTTTTCTGATAAATAACACCAAAAAAAGCTGTAAAGAAACCTAATTTTAATTTGTGTTAAAACATTCTTTGGAGTTAAAATAAGAAACCATGAATTTATTTATCTGTAATAGACCTTAATCAGGTTAGATACTATGAGGTTGTGAGAGACAAACTTACAGACTTTATAAAGGCACTCACCGTATAAAGGTCCTGGATCACATAATTTAAATTAATTGAGTTCCCTTTCGAACGGTCACTTCGTATTGCGTAGCTATACGCAGTGGGGGGGAAACTCCCTTTCCTCGATTTACTGAAGCTTATATGTAAAACGCATTTGCAGCTGCACATTGAGCGTCCGACTCGCTCATAGGTTGTGCTGCAGCAACTGCACATCCAATGTCGCGGGCGCCTCTGACATGCGACCAATGAGCTAGCTGTGGCCTTAGCCTATATTATTCCCCCGAATTCGCCATTATAGCAGATTTTACTCCATTTTACTGAGCTTTCGCCGTCGAACAAGCCATTCAGCCTGAGCGTGCTTCATCTCAGCAGACTACGTCTTCATCAGCCGTTTTCTCCTGACGCCGTCTCACCTGTGGCTATCCGGCGACGACGCTATATCCTTTAATTTCATTTAACAGATATTGAGCGCGCGAGGCGTTGTTTCAAATGCCTCATTCATCTTGTGCCACGTGCGGATGCAATCTAAACGAGGCCGACGAGCACACGAGATGCATCTCATGCCTGGGGATCTTCGACGCGGAGACTGCACTCGATTCCGGTGGCTGCGCGGCCTGCGAGAGCATGCCCATGTCTGTGCTGCGAACGCGGCTAGCTCTCTCCCGAGACGGCGACGCCGCGTTACAGACTCTTCCTTTTTTCGCTCCAACGGAGGAAAAAGAACCGCCGCAGCCAACGACAGCCTAAGAGTATGGAGGTTAGCGAGCGCACGCCGGCCACGTCCCCGCGTGCCACGATTTCCTCCGCTCAAACGCCCTCTCCGGTCATGTTCGCGGGAGATCAGCCCCCCCCCCCCCCCCCCACACACGTGGCGGGCATTGTCTCCTTCGGCACAAAGTCGGCTGTATGGCTGTTTTCTGGCGGGTCGCCAGCAGGCCCCTCGTCACAGGCCGGCGCCTTTTCTGCCTGAGGTGCACGAGGAGTGCCACCTGTGGCTGAACCTCACCGAGATCAAGGACGTGGATAGAACCAGGTTCCTTGATGCACCTGTGTCCAGCTCTGGCCTCTTCGGCCCAGCGGTGAAGGGTTTTTCGGAGAGATTCACCGAAGCGCAGAAGTTGTCCCAGGCCATGCGACACTTCCTGCCGAAACGCTCGAGCTCCGCTTCCAGCAGGCCCAAGTCCGCCCCGCCTTCGCCTCGTCCAGCCAAGACGGCGAAGCAGGTCTCTCAGCCCCGCCCTGCGGCTGATACCAGCCGCCAGCAGCGACCAGCGAAGCGCTTCTCGCAGCCCCGGCGCCAGGGCCCGCGAATCAGCATCGTGCTAGACGCTGGTCCACCGAAGTCGTCCTAGCACCAAGGGGAAAAAGAGAGGGCTTGTGTCTCGCGCTAGCCGGACCTCCCTCAAAAAGACCCACAAAACTTCCCACAGCTCTCTGTTCAGTTCAGGCGGCTGGGGATTTTATTATTGTAAACAGGCCCGCTGTTCTGAGTGCACCTCTACAAACAAACGCCGTTTTCACGGCGACCCACATAAAGCACAAAAAGAGTATGTTTCACATTCACAACACACGGGTTTACGGTCCCCCTCCACTAGGCGGCCCCTTCCCTGTTGTTACACTGACTTCCCCCCAGGCAAAAGCCTGTATAGTCTGTCCAACTCTCAATGTGTGCACAAATCACAATATAAGGGTATCAGGTCCCCCTATGTTAGGCGGCCCATCCCAATCTGTGTGTCAATCCCTAGCCACACGGGCGCTGGCCTGGCAAGCCATACCCCATGTGTCAAGTTGGATCATAAACACCATAAAGCGAGGCTACTCGCTCCAATTCGCTCGCAGGCCCTCGAAATAGAGGTCTTCACGGGTCCAAAAATTCATGCCCGAACCGGAAGAGACCCGTGATGTGCTACACCGAACCGACCCGGACCCGTCTATTATTTCAAAAGTTGGACCCGGACCCGTGCAGATCCGAGAAATGCCATAAATGTACTGCCGGGACCCGACCTGGACCCGTCTATTATTTGAAAACTGGACCCGAACCCGGCGGGAAGACACAAACCCGACTGGACCCGATTGTCACATATTATTTCACACAAGTTGCGAAAAATACAACTTTTTGTCTTACCTAATTTTAGTAGCCGTCGTCTCACTTCCTTGTAACGTTAACGTTACCTGACTGACTGTGATGCATTACAATCCACCGACAAGAAACTTATATCCATGTTATTTCTCTCGTTATTCCAAGCTTAATCCACTCATTATTTCAGCTTTAAAAGTCCACTTGATGGATGGATGGTCACGGTGATGGATGACAAATAGCCTGGCATGCCAGACCTACATCAAGATGTTAGGTCTGGGAACTCTCCATTGACATGCCTCAATCCAAGGGGCGGGATAAACGGTTACCTTTCAAAATCCCTCTGCACGCAATAGGATAACACTACAACCAACCAGAGCAACGAACGGTTGTGGATGAGTGAGTCCCATGCGTTTTTCCACCAGCGGAGCTAATTGATATATTAAACTTTTGCCGTATCAGGTCGGCAAAACTCCGAACACATCTTCCTTTTTTAAGAATGACTTAAGTAACGTTCTCTTAACTCCAAGTCCTCCAGAGTCGCAGCCAAAGCCGATTCGAAAGACCGCTGCATCTTCATTGTTTTCAAGTAGCAGGGAAATCACCTATGGAAATCACGCGGAACGTCATGAACTGTGCCGTCATTGTGTTAAGCCCGCCCGCCGACTCTATACACGATGTGATTGGCCCGACCAGTTTTTGGTTTTTCTAGCTCAAAAGCCTATGGAGAGTTGCTAGACCACACTGGCTGCGAAATAATTTTCGCTGCCGCTAGGGTGCGTCTAGATTTCTAGGCTAGGATGACAAATGCAACTTTGCACATGTACATTCTGACTCAAGTTAACTCGCATAATAACGGGGGCGGCAGTGGCTCAGTGGTTCATGTAGGTTGTCTACAAACCGGAAGGTTCAATCCCCGGTTCCACCTGACCAAGTGTCGAGGTGTCCATGAGCAAGACACCCCAGCTGCTCCCGACGAGCTGGATGGCGCCTTGCATGGCTGACACCGCCGTCGGTGTATGAATGAGTGTATGAATGGGTGAATGTGAGGCAAATTGTAAAGTGCTTTGGTGGCCATTGGGTCTGTGAAAGCGCTATATAAATGCAGTCCATTTACCATTTTTAACTCGCATAATAACTTTAACTGTTTGCCCTTTTGAACTATAATAACGATTGCTCGTTCAGTGCCATGGCCGCTGACGTTATTTATTTGCTATCATATCTGTGCTCTCTGCTCTGCATTGAGTCTGAATCTGACCACCAAAACTTTAAGATTAAACAAGACGGTTCATTTATATTATTATAAAAATGGGAGAAAATGTAAAGCACGGTTTGGCGGAAGCTCTGGTTGCCATAGAAACATGACACACGCTTGAGACTGCACATGCGCGCTAGCTGGATCACCTAAAATATGTTTTTTTTAACGCAATTTGAGCGTCATAGAAAACATTTATGTGACAGTTTACCTCAGATTTTGTTGCTGATTTGAAATATATTAAATATGAGTGTGTCAACTCAAAGTCTGCAAGCATTTTTGAGATTTGAACTTGTATTTACTATGTCACATAATAGGAACACGAACTCAAAACGACACTTAACTACATTGCAGCCTACCTACATATCAATAATTACTGCCAAGAAAAACATAAAATAAAATATAGAAATCAAATAAACTTATATAGAAAATAAAGATCTGTTTCCCCACTGCACACAAAACCATGCATGGCAACAAACCATTTAATGATTGCTATCTGACTTAAAGCTGCAGTAGGGAGTTTTGAGAAAACGTTGACTTAGCCTGAAAATTTGAACAAGCACAACTTACAGGTCCCACCCCCTTGCTCTCTGCTGCGCCACAGCCCTCCCTCCACAGCTCGTCCTCCACAGCGGAGCTAGTAAACAGGGCCACCGATAACAGCGGATAAAAAGTTACATGGCACATTCACTAATAGGGACTAAACGTCAATAATATGCTTTACATTGACTATGGCCTGCCCATACTTTGACTACAAACTTGGTCCTCAAATCATTATGTATTTTGCAATAGCCTACATGTAACTTTATAACGTTGCACTCTTTCTATAAGTTATAAATAGCTAGTAAGATAACGTTAATATAACGGTAACTAACGTTACAGTATGTAAGTAATTATTCTAGCGATATATAATGCTAGATAAGGTGTGCTAGTACATTATTTCAGCAACATGACAAGCCAGTGAATTAGCAGGTTTCAATTGTTGCTTAGCAGAGTGCGTGACATTTTATCTACATGTTATGCGGCTAGAGTTTTGACACCGAGTCAATGGGCTCTGTGTAATTCTTTCTTTTTCGCTTGTTTATCGTCATCAGTCTTTTTCCTTTTACCTCTTTGTTTTATGAGCAGGTGTCACTCGAGAATTGGCAGTTTAGGTTGTTTCTCCATCATAAGCACAGCTGCAGCACGCCGGCAATCTTGAGTTTGAACGACGGCTCGCGCTGTGCAAGAGAGGGGTGTGATCAGTGCGTACACGAGCGTGATTGACACTGCTAAGACATTCCTCCTGGCTCTGATTGGTTGTTTCTGACCGGGAGCGTGTATTTCTAGCAAATGGCAATAGGACCACTGGGAGGAGCCAGAGGAGCTTGATTTTTACACAGATTATCTGTCTCATATTCTACTGTCAGGACATAATGACAGTTTTAGCAAATACATTTTTTCAAAAGTTACCTACAACAGCTTTAATTAAACAAACATAACACATCTTGAAGTGTGCATTCTGTGCAATCAACTGCATTCAATTACCTTTGCTTGCGAGTATATATTTATATATATTCAACATAAATGTTCTTGAAGCCTTGCCCTAAAAAAAATTTAAATTAATATGAAATGCTACATGCAATGCAACAAAAAAAACATCAGCTCTCTAAGCTGTGTGTGTCTTTATCTTTAATAAAGTGGTGCTTAGAGGTCTAGTAGGGCTGCTTTAATTTTCATGTTGGGCCTACATGTTGCTATTCAGAAACAGCAAAGCATTTACACTAGCAGTGCTGAGGCAGGTCCGACGATTCTCCAACGTGCGAACAGAGATGCTGAAGGCTGACTCACAACTCACACTAGATGCAGGCACACAAAGTATTTTTCTTGCCAGTTGTGCCATTGATGGAAACATATTTTGGTTGTGTTTCCAAAAACTAAGAATGTCTCTATCATTTTCCATTGTGGGCTTGTGCTTCAAATATTGTTCTAGCTCATCGACCCCTGTATCCAGTTCAGCATCCTCGACGTCAGCCCACTGGCTAAAGTGTTGCACTGGTCCTGGTGCTGGCGCTGGCCCAGCCATCTCATCTTCCTCTTCCTCTTGCATCTGCTGGGCATTCACCTCAGTTGTAGCTATTTTAGGGAAGCTGGCCAACTCTCCACGTGCACTTTCATATATTTCCTCCCTCTCTTCTGTGGTGAACATCCGAAGCTGCTTGAATTTTGGCCAGAGCAGCACGGCAAGCTTTTCATGGTGTCCCAAAACTATCCGTTCAGCGAAAAAGTCCCATGCACCTATTAAATAGAATAGAATAGAATTAGTTGAATAATACATCAAAAAACACTTAATTAGGTCTAACTATAGCAAACAGTGAAAAAATTAAATGGATAATAATATTTTTAATAGAGCACATGTAATGGTAAATGGATTGCATTTATATAGCGCTTTCACAGACCCAATGGCCACCAAAGTGCTTTACAATTTGCCTCACATTCACCCATTCATACACTGACGGCGGTGTCAGCCATGCAAGGCGCCATCCAGCTCGTCGGGAGCAGCTGGGGTTCGGTGTCTTGCTCATGGACACCTCGACACTTGGTCAGGTGGAACTGGGGATTGAACCACCAACCTTCCGGTCTGTAGACAACCTACATGAACCACTGAGCCACCCCCCACATACTACATATACAGGCAATCTGTTATAAAATTAGAAGAGTAATTTTTAGACACTTACCTGTGTTTCAGTATCCTGAGCGGCACTGGATCAGCTTGGGACTGTGAGATTTGGCAGTGGGTCATCAGCGTGGTTTTCCAGAGGGCCACTAAGTTGATTGTACAATATTTTGAGCCACTGAGCTCTTCAGTTGCCTGCTTGAAAGGCTGCAGGAATTGGACAAGCATCTGAAGAATGTCTTTGGATATGTGACTCATGCGATGCATCTCTCCTCGTTCAAGCAGAATGGACTGAATGTCTTCAAATGCATTAAAGGAGAATTCCGGCGCAAAATGAACCTTTGGTCTAATAAAACATTGGTACCTAGTCAACCGTTGTCTGAGATTTGTTTTCATGATAATCGAATGTAAAGAGTTTTATCTCTAAAAACTGTTTAGCGTATAACGCTAGTAATGGGGGCATCTATTAAGTAAAAATAAATCGCTAGTTTATACCACTAACAAGACTCAAAATAGCCCCACACTAACACAGTAACATAATGAGGGTCCCTACATGCAAAACGAAGCATTGAGAACTTTGTAAGTGTACAGACCGTTTAATAAGAAGATAAAGATAAAGACAGTCCACTTCGTGTATACAGACAGGAGCCATCTTTGGAAAACAGTCTCGACTAGTCAAACCACGAACGCCATTCATACAGTTCAGAAGTTCACTGAACTTCATACAGTTCAGCTCACTTAGCACGCCATTCGTGGTTTGATTAGTCGAGACTGTTTTTCAAAGATGGCTCCTGTCTGTATACACGAAGTGGACTGTCTTCATAAAATATCTTCTTATTAAATGGTCTGTACACTTACAAAGTTCTCAATGCTTCGTTTTGCATGTAGGGACCCTCATTATGTTACTGTGTTAGTGTGGGGCTATTTTGAGTCTTGTTAGTGGTATAAACTAGCGATTTATTTTTACTTGATAGATGCCTCCATTACTAGCGTTATACGCTAAACAGTTTTTAGAGATAAAACTCTTTACATTCGATCATCATGAAAACAAATCTCAGAGAACGGTTGACTAGGTACCAATGTTTTATTAGACCAAAGGTTCATTTTGCGCCGGAGTTCTCCTTTAAGCACAGATTTGACCATCTCAAGTTTAGTATTCCATCTTGTTTCACATTCTTGTTTCAAAGACTGCTTAAGTCGAAGTTGTAATCCAGAGTGTTTAAAAAATGTTGTCAGGGTCTTGCATTGCTCAATGCAACTTCTTACTTCTTGCAGTTTTTCCTCATCTCCATCATGCTCTTCATCACCTTCCTTAGACTTCTTAAAGGTGTGCTTCAGCACTGTATTCAGTACGTGCGCTATACAGCTTTTGTGCACCCATCGGGAGAGCGCTGCCTGCACATTTGCACCTTGGTCACTGACAAACACAAGTCTGTCGATCTCATCTGGGATCAGACCAAATTCACCTAGTTGCTTGAGCAGTTCTGTCTTCAGGTTTAAAGCCGTTTTCTTGGCCCCGGATGGAAATGCACATGTACATATGATCCTGGTATTAAATTCCCAGGAATCATCTATATAATGCAGTGTAATGCAGGTGTAACTGACCTTCCTATGGTCATCTGTCCACATATATGTGGATGCTCCGCATGCCAGTCCTTCAGCTATTGCTTTCCTAACTGTTGGCAGGAGCTCTGTTCTGAGACTTTCATATTTCTTCTGTGTGAAACGAGATACCGTCACACCAGATGGAAGTAAGTCCTTCACATTACACCGGCCATGTGTTGCTCCCGTGTCTAAAATTGTCTGCGCTAATTCGGTGAACGTGGGAGTTTCAAACATGCTAAAGGCCCTTAAATCCTTTGCGCAGAGTTTAGTGCATTTTTCCAAAATCGCATCCTTTGCTTTTTTTGGAACTACACCCAATCTAAGAAACGGCGCCACTGAAGTTTGGGTCAAAACATTTTTACCACACGACCTGGTGTGCTTTAAAAGATGCGATGTGCCAGTTTTTGCTGAATCAAACTTCAACAGTGCGTCACACGTATTACACTTAACTGCACTTACTTTTTTCTCATCTTTGTCTACAATATGCATGAAGGATGCCCAGACAGAAGAGGTGCCCGTAGGTTTTACCTCTTTATACTCGATGTTTTTGAGCTTTTTTCACACATCAATCATGAAGGTATCCATTATTAGCGTGCACTTGCATTAACTCTGACTCTGAGTCTGCGCGCTCTGCTTCTAACGGCAGAGAGAGAGAGAGAGAGAGAGAGAGATTGCTCTTTTTTTTTTGGGGGGCTCACACTTTTCTTTACCTAATTGTACAAGTTGCAAAAAAACACAAGCAGTGCTGACGACTCATTCTGACTCTGATCGAGTCCGATGACTCCGATCGCACGGGTATTACACACAATGTTAAACAGATCCGGGACCCGAAGTAATAGATTCGGACCTGACCCGGACCCGGCTGATCATTTAAAATATAGACCCGAACCCGTACGGGTCCCGGGTCGACGGGTCTCGGGTGCACTGTGAAGACCTCTACCCCGAAATTTCAGGCGTTTGTCGAGACTTCAGTGAGAAGCAACATGGGTCACGTGCTTCTCACCGAAATACAAAATCTGTTAGCAAAAGGGGCGATAGAGCCTGTCCCTCTCGCGCTGAAACCCTCAAAAACACTATTTTCTGGTCCCGAAAAAGGACGGCGGCCTCAGACCCATTCTAGATTTGAGATGTTTGAACAAGGCTCCCATGAGACGGCCTTTCAAAATGTTAACTATCAAACGCATCCTCGCGCAAGTGCGCCCGGGAGACTGGTTTGTTACAATGGATCTGTAAGATGCATATTTTCACATCCAGATAAACCCTCGTCACAGGCCATTCTTGAGATTCGCCTTCGAGGGCCAGGCTTATCACTACACCGTTCTGCGGTTCGGTCTATCGTTAGCACCCCGTACATTCACAAAGTGTATGGATGCAGTGCTCTCTCCCCTGAGACATCAGGGAGTGCGCATGCTAAATTATCTCGACGACTGGCTGGTGCTGGCACAGTCGAAAGCCGAACTACTGTCACTCAGGGATTTGATTATCGGCCAGTTGGAATGCCTGGGTCTCAAGATCAATGTAACCAAGAGCAAACTGACCCTCAACCAGAGTGTGTTTTTTCTGGGCACAGTTATAGACTCTATGACAATGACAGCGCGGCTCACGCGGGAGCGTGCACCCGCTGTGCGAGCGCTGGCAGCCTCATTAAAGGCGGGCGAGCGTGCACCCATGAAGAAATTTCAGAAACTTCTCGGTCTAATGGCAGCAGCATCATCAGTGCTGCGTATGGGATTACTGCGCATGCGCCCGCTGCAGCACTGGCTAAAACACTGTGTGCCAACCCATGCATGGCAGTCAGGCAGTCTGCACATCAGGGTGAATCACGGTTGTTTAACCCTCTGATTTTTTTTCACAAAGCAGAAAAATAGACTTAAACTACTCCATCATTTCTGGTCAGGCAGAGTTATGAAACATATTAAAAAAAACTGTTAAATGTCTACTTTTTTTATGTGCCCACCTACAATCGAATTAAAATATTGTGCTTTTGTAAAATAAAGAAAATAAACAGGGTGTGCGTTCTGCTTCTCCGTGAACTTTTTTTCTGGAGCACTTCTCTAAACTTAAAAAAAAAAACACAGCTAATACTATTCACCCAGACATGAGCAATATATGTTTATGATCATTTAAGTTTGTACTTTTAAATTATATAATTTAAAACTAAAATAAATATTCCCTGTTTATGTAATCTATATAAAAAGAGAGAGGTATCAGCCTTCTCATTATCATTCTCGCATCTCATTATTGCTCTAATGTGACACGCCCACGGAGAGCGCGTGCTATTCAAACGCTTATGATCTGAAGCAACACATTGAGACGTGTAAACGCCCACATATCCACATATCAACTCGGTAAACACACTATATTTAGTCAGATTAATGTACTGTCGTCTTGCTCCTGTGAGGAATAATCCTGGGACATTTACCTACCTCAGAACAAGTGCTGGTTTATTTTCACTTCGAGGAGCGAGCTGAACTGTAAGTGTTTTATTCTTGTGCTTTGTTCTAATCGCGATGAATAACGTTAGTGTCTGTAAACGCAAAAATAGCCTACTGTTTAAATTTGAATCATGTTTCTGTGTGTGTGTGTGTTTGTGTGTGTGTGTGTGTGTGTGTGTGTGTGTGTGACTAGTTTAGGATAGATTATAAAGTTTTAACTCTAAAATAGACATCAAATAAGCTTTTGTTAGCAGTTTCTGCTCATATGTTAAATATATAGTATGTTTTGTCAAAAATAAACTTATCAACTGTTATAGTGTTTGTTCCAGCTAGGCTATATCAAAATAATGAATCCTTAACTTTGAAATATGTATAATAAACTGTATTTGCATACTTTAAAAAATAATACTTTATAAGAGATTTATGGAAAAAGACAATTTTCTTTTCAAGATGTTTCCAACTCTAACTTTGAACCAATTCTATTGAATGGCCCATATTTGCACAGGATTTGTTTCCAGGTATAACAAAAAATGTGCTTTTGACTTTCATTTATATTTAGATTATTTTATATATATATGTCTGTGTGTGTGTATGTAAATATATTTTCCTTGCATTCTTTCTTGTGACACACCTGAATTAAATGAATGCATCTTTGTCTTCTCAGGTGAGAATCACCTAATTATACATGAGGGGGTTGGGCCGTTCACGCCCATTCGCATATTGCCTTTCAAACTAAAAAATGTTTTTCACAATTTAACCCTCTGGGGACCAGCGTGTTTTTGGGGCCTTTGGGATGTTTTGACATGCACTGACATTTGTGCTTTTTTCAGTTATTTATAAACATGTTAATGGCAAAGGTGTAAATTCACTCTATATAGCACAAACGGGGCTACCATGATATGTGAGCAACATGTATGTACATGTTTGTATTTTTAAGAGAATAATGTTTATGCGTGGTTATTGAAAAAAATAAAAATGAAAGTTGCTGAAATAAGACCACAAAACACATACTAAATATGTGTCCACAAGACTTTTGACTAATGGATGTTGTCGCTTCGAGTTCTGGCTTCAAAATGATGTGAAAATCATCCTGCCTAATTGTTCACCAGGGGCGGCACCAGATAATTTTTAACGCAGGTGCTGAGGGGGTGCTAGATCATTGACAGGGGGAGCTGCGCAATTAGCCTATATATATATATATATATATACACACACACACACACTATTATTTAAATGAGCAAAATTTATGATGAGATGTGCTCCAGTTCACGTGCAATGCAATCGCGCCTGCGCCTCCTTATCTTTATCATATTGTCTGCTATATTTGCTTCTTATTTAGGCTATACCCAGTCAATTGGTTGATGAAAAATTTATTAAAATTAAGATACAATTTATACAAAACGAAATTCACTTTAAAAAGGCTTTCTACAAAACAAAACTTAATTTATAGGCCTACTTAACATAAAAAAATAAAAATAAAAATCATTTTCCTTTAAATCCTCATTTGTCTGGCTTATGCTACTCCGAGCAATGTCCGAACTTGGTATTTTGAGCACTTGCGTTGTTTTTGCCTTTTCACGATGACTCGCTTGGTTTAGTCCTCAGTTGAGTCGCTTTGGATAAAAGCGTCTGCTAAAATAAATGACTAAATGTAAATGTGTAAATGTAAATTTAGTGGTCAAAATCATGTCTGAGTCTGACCCATCATATCTTCCGATATATCGCGCATCTTACTCATGCTGTTCAATTTTCATAATCAGCATAGATGTAAAAAAAAAAAAAAAAAAACAACTTTATAATATTTTAACAAAAATGAAATTAAATGCGCTTATTTAATGGCTACAACACACATATAGTAGGCCTGACTCTCTAAATATTGAAACAATTAACATTAACAATGCTGAAGTGCAGTTAATTAATAGTAGGCCTATAGGCTAAATGTTAACTAATCTAATTAAGTGTTACCGATTTTTTATACACCGATTCAGAGTTCCCTTTCGAGCAGTGGCGGTTCTAGAGGGGGGGCCAGGGGGGCCCGTGCCCCTGTGACAAAAAGCTTGGCCCCCCTTGTGGCCCCCCTAAATGTGGAGTTTGAAATAATTTTTACAAAACTGTTTTTTGCTATCGTATGCGTATTATTTTTTATTTTTCTATCTTTGTGGATTTGCATTTTCACGTGACAATTCGCATCACATTCGCGGGAATCGCGGCAGAATAACGCCTGTCTCCTGCACGCGAGAGAGGAGAGAAGAAGAAAGTTGGTAAATGTCAGTTCTGTTGTAAGTTTATTCTTTATGTGCGTATGGGGTGTGCGATGTGTATTGTCTATTATGATATTGTAATCATTGTTTTAACTATGTACGAGGCACTGTGAGCTGACATAGCATTTGTCTATCGTCCTTTCACTGCTGTGTGCAGTTCATAGGTAGGCTATGTCCCCAAATTAGTTTTTGTCTTATATTTATATCATATTATGTTCTTATATTAGAATATCACATCAGCAAGAGTGCCGTTTTCCCGTGCACAATTGCAACTGTGATATTTATGTTATACAACAGTTAAATTAACAATAAGTTAACATTGGGAGTTACTTTTTAGACACAATATTGTCAATATTGTTTGTTTTCCCTTTATTTCGCCGACTAGAATTTCATAATGAAACCGTAGTGAGTCTCAATGCAACACAGCGATGATTTATTGACTGAAATCCGCGTTTTGAACGAATCACTTGCTTCTTTCCCGAATAAATCAGCCGTTTGAACAAATCGTTTGAATGAATGAATCCCTCTTACAGGGACTTGCCGCCGCCTACTGGCGGTTTTAGTTTCATATTTAAAGTATCCTTTAATTAAAACGTTAAAATTAGAAATAATTTCATTTTTAAATATTGATTTAAAAAAAAATCTCATAGCTTTATTTATGCAATTGTAAATGGAGTGTAAATATATTAATGCCACTTCTGTGTCACCTCTGCACTGCAAAGATGGATTTTGATTGAATTAATTAATTTGACTGGTAACAGTGGTACTGTATAATTATTGCATAATTAAGTATTATTGTATAAATAAGTATAATTACTGTATAATTTGAATGTTAGTATTTGACATAAAAGGTGATGCATAACTCTAAATAAGTTTAGAAAAAATGTCCATATATAGGTGAAAATGCCCCTGGAAATCAATTTAAGGTGGCAAATATTGCCCCTTAATTAAAAAATGTATTTCTGTCACTGCTGTGAACTGACCACTGCATAGAATATGAAAAATATTAATATCTTCGTGAGTCAGCTGTCAACAACAGGCCTAAACCAACCATGGCACCAGCACAAAAACACAATCAGTAAAATATTATCTAATTATTAACAAAATGTTGAAAATATTGAAATATATTTTTGTCAATATTGCACACCCCTAATGTACGGTATTAATTTTGATTTCTTTAGGTCTTAAAAAGCCTTAAATTTGACTTTAAAAAGTGTGCAGGAACCCTGTAAACGGTTA